TGCTTTCACTGAAGCCAGGAGAGCAAGAGGGATTGGTGCGCACCGATCCTGCTTGCTCTCCTGGCTTCAGGGGTAGCCCCGCAAAGCCTCCTGAGCGAAGATGGAAGAGCGCTCCCTCTTAGCTCAGGAGGCTTTGTGTTGTTTTCTTATTTCTTGTTTTCCTCCCCTAAAAACTAGGTGCGTCCTATCATCCGGTGCGTCTAATAGAGCAAAAAATACGGTACTTCTTTTCACTATTGATCTGAGTTTCCGTGGACACACTGTCAGTCTCAGGTTTGTAAAATAAATGGGTTGTGGTTTTATACTTATTTATTTACTTACACACATTTATTTTAATAGATGGGGTGACGAGCTGTTAAAAAAAACAAAAACGTTTTTCTGACGCGTTTCCCGGAGCAGTTTAAAAGCTGATGGAATTATGAAGACAGCATGACTATGCTAAGAGGAGAGGGAAGGGGAGAGAAAATAAGGAAGGCAGTCTTTCTTTTCTTTCTTTCTTCAAAGACATGCTGGGACATGTATTTTCTTTTTGACCCTGCAACTCTGTTCGTGTGTGTTAAAACTTCAGCTGAAATGCTACAGGCTCTGGTGAAATGGAACGCATAAAATACTGGCTTGATTTCCTTAACATGACACTGATTACTATATGGTGGTGCTAAAGCCATTAGATTCGGGGGGGGCATTGTGGTAAAGGAGTAGCAGTCATTCTGTGTTCCGTGTGGCTGGCTGACAATGAAGGTTTCTACTCTAGAAAATGAATGAACCTAAGTTAGTCACATTCATTAATGTCAGTGGGTCTGCTCTGAGCAGGATTAGCACTGGATTCAACCCAATGAGTTTATATTTTGGACTGAAATTACTATTGTGGAATCACCTTAGTAAACACAAGCAGTGATTTGTCATTGGGGAAGCAGATGCACTCTATTTATGCTCTTGCCATTTATTTCTGAGACTCATGATTCCAAATCGTGTCTCTCCCAGATCAGTTTAAACTCCCTAGGCTGTGTCAGGCTTTGATTGGGTAGAATATTACCTGCATGTCTTCTGTTTTGGCCACATATGAAAAGGCTCGCCATTAGTATTTAGGCTGCATATATAAAAAAGATGGTTTTAAGATAGTGAAGCAGGATGTTAACTAGCCCGGATATTAACTTGCAGTCAGATCAGAACTGAGTCACCTGTGATGAATCAGCTGTGAGGGAGAGGCTCTGCATCCAGAACAAATTCATTTCCAATTGGGTCTGTACACCCTCAATTCTTCTCATACTGCTTTGTATGATTAATGGTGCTTCCAATCTGGGGTGTAGCCTTGCAAATGGGTCAGATATCCCAAAAGGATGATTGACAACTTTTTTAAAATGGATTTTCCATGGAAAGAAAAGCAGTAAATCTAAATTAAATCTGGGGGAAGGGAAATACGGGCTGCTATTTTCATGCCAATTATGTTGTTTTGATGCCGCCAAAAACCTTGCATGTAAGAGCACCAATTTCACAATAAAACACCCATCTGACTGCAACAGACATGGGCATTTCATGTCCTCAGAATACCCTTTCCATAATTTAATAATAATTTTAAAAAATTATTAAAATTAAATAATTTAAAATTATTTATTAAAATTAAATAATTTAAAAAAACAACAACCTGAATGCTTCTAAGCATATCCTAAGCTTGGAATTTGATTTCAGTACCAGAACTTAAAGTACACACTCCTCTTTAGCTTTCTTAAGTTCAGTAGCCTAATTTAGGAGGGGAAGTTGTTTTGTTGTTGTGCCTATCACTAAGGCACTGGGAAGCAGGAAGCTTTGCTGGACTCCTGAAAAAGCACCCAGAGATCTTACCAGGAGATCCCAACTTATCTCCTGTCCACCATATCTGGATGCAACCTTACCTTGCATAGGGAAGTGAAGGAAAGCAGAATTTTATGAAAGATGGCCTGGAGATGCACAAAGATGGAAAAGCTAATCACTACTAACAATGGAAGAACGGGTGTTAAAATTAACGGACTTAGCTCTGAGATGGTGAAACTGACATGTTTAATCGGAGAAAAGTCGTTGTTAGCATTTATGGAAGATTGGAAACCTCTCAAACTTTCAGCATGAAAAAGAAAAAGAAATAATGACACTTGGATTTGAGGATGCTTTATAGAAAGTGGCTTTGAAGGCAGTTGTACTGGAGTGGTTGAAGTGAATATTGTTTATATATAGCAGTCAGATTAAGAATTGGAAGTTGTTTAATTTCTGAACTTTATTTTTATCTCGTCTATTTCTTTTTTTTCTCTCTCTCTCTATATATATTTCCTGCTCCCCCCTCTTTTTCTCTGTTTTTATTTTATTTTATTAAGATCAATGTTTTAGTTTTGGACAAAAAAATGGTATTGAGCTTTGTATTTCTCTATATAAATTCTAATGAAATGTATTCAAAAGGAAGAAATAAGGAAAGAAGGAAAGAAAGACAGCCCTTTTCCTCTGTCCATTCGCTGCCGTTCAACAGTATCCCAAAATCTACTACCTGAGGCAGCCTGTCTTGCTTTACCTACGGGTAGCGCTGGCCCTTAATTATGTTCTAATATCTTCTACAATTAAGCCATTAGCTCAGGAATCCTGATACAAGAAAAATGGTTCTGAGTTCTGTCACAAGAACTGGGAAAGTGCCAAATCATCAGATAGTTGTTTCACCCTATAGCTGAGCAATCATGACATTTCTTCAGTCAGAATGACACAGCCATTTTTTGTGTGTCCCAAGATACTAGGAGTTGCGTAACTGCCACATAATCACCTTTGTGTACAGAGGGTCAAGTGCAGGCTTGCTTTGTCACAGTGCTCTCGTCCTGAGAAAAAGGTGCGGAAGCCAGAGATATTTCGACTGCAATCCTTAACTTGCTTTCTTAGGAGTCACCTCATTTTCCCAGAGGGATAGGCACACATTTTTAGTTCACTGTATCTTAATGGGCCTGCCCTTCACGCCCCAGCTCTGCAACATTATCTTCAACTTGCACATGTAAAAACAAAATAACACGTGTTTCCATTTATGCAAAGGTACAAAGTACATGTTTTTACCCCACCCAGCAAGCGGCCTTTGGCATATGCATATAAAAATAACTACCGTGCAGCCAGATCCCTGTAGGCCTAACTTTTTCAAGTCTTATTCGTTTCTGACATTAACGTTGTAGTTGTTGTTTTGATTTTTTAGTTGCCTGGATATACAATTTGCTCTGTAACTTTCTGCCTCGTCCCTTTCCCTGACGTCCTTTCTCCAACAGCCAGCAGCTTATCGTTGCTGCTGTTTCGTAACTGATCTCCTATCATTGCACTGTCGTAATTTCATTTGTATGAGGAAATTCTCATATCAATTTTTTTAAAAAAAATCCTTATAAAGGTAGATAGATAATGCATAATCCTATACTGAAGATCTGCCAGCGGTGTTCTTCGTAAGGGGTTCAAGTGGGCATGAGAGGGGATACTTTCCCCTCTTTGCTAAGTGTGGGGTTGTACACTAGATTGGATTCTGGGAACTGCAGTGTGTAAAGCATGAGCTATTCCACTCAGCTAGACCTCCTCCTGGAGTTTCTCTGCTTCTGGCATCTGAAACCAGATGTTGGGGCAGCAGGGAGACAAATGCCCCATGATGCGTCTGCTTGCTGTCTGCTGCTGCGACTCAGTGGTTAGGGAACTGTTCTGTGGTGTTTGTTTGCCTTATAATAATAATAATAATAATAATTTATTATTTGTACCCCGCCCATCTGGCTGGGTTTCCCCAGCCACTCTGGGCGGCTTCCATAGAAACCAAAAATACAGTAAATATCACAGATTAAAAACTTCCCTGAACAGGGCTTGTGGGTTTGAATCCCCAAAGGACCTCTCCTTTTACCCCTGATAATGACTGTTTTTTTTAAAGTCCGTACAAAGGATAAGAATCTTTTTTTCTCACTCCCATTCCTCTGGTGGGGGCTCAAACCCCAGCTTATTCAGTTCAGTTCCCTCAGGAGTGAACCACTGGAGGCTGCTGCTACCAGTCTATCTGATTTATTATTATTATTATTTTGTCCTTGTGTCCTAGCACTTCTCCATTGGCTACTTGTCAAAATAATCTTTTCCTGGGTGACATCTGAACCTTTGTCTCAGGAAGGCTAAGTACGCTCACTTCCAGTCATCTTACCTAGGCCACATACCTAGGGAGAAACTAGGCTTTATTTCACCCGGGTCAAAGACCCAATTTGGCACACACTTAATTGCATCCCTCTGGAGGCTCCCACCCCCCGGAAAAAAACCAGCTGGCCCCTCGCCCCACCCCATAACTCTGGCTCTGCCACATGCACACCATACACTGCTGATATTTTATGTTGCCTCAGATATAGCTCTTTGGGGTGTATACATTTTATGGCATCACTTTAAACAGTCACGGCTTCTTCCAAAGAATTCTGGGAGCGCGTTAACGATCCTCAAGTTGCACTGCCGGAGCTACAATTCCCAGAGTGGGCTAGCAAGGGATCCGTCTTCACAAAGAGCTCTAGGGATCCTGTTGATGACAACAAAAACAACAACGATGACCCACAGGCTTTTAGTTATAATATCCAGTATGTGTAGTGGCGCCCACCTTGTTGAATGCCCTCCCATCAGGTGTCAAGGAGATGAGCTGTTATATATCTTTCAAGAGACATCTGAAGGTTTTTTAAGGTTAAATGATTTTCCAAGGACGCAGGAGGCGCTGTGGGTTAAACCACAGAGCCTAGGACTTGCCGATCAGAAGGTTGGCGCGACGGGGTGAGCTCCTATCGCTCGGTCCCTGCTCCTGCCAACCTAGCAGTTCGAAAGCACGTCAAAGTGCAAGTAGATAAATAGGTACTGCTCCAGCGGGAAGGTAAACGGTGTTTCCGTGTGCTGCTCTGGTTCGCCAGAAGCGGCTTAGTCATGCTGACCACATGACCCGGAAGCTGTACACCGGCTCCCTCGGCCAATAAAGCGAGATGAGCGCCGCAACCCCAGAGTTGGTCACCACTGGACCTAATGGTCAGGGGTCCCTTTACCTTGACCTATGTTTTTGCAAATGCTGGAAGCTGTGCAGAGTGGGTACAATTATTATTGTTGTTGTTATTATTGTTATTACTACTACTACTACTATTATTAGATCAATAAAGCAACCTATTCTTTGCAGGGGGCTCGAGGGGGTGGGTGGGAGAAGAAAAACAGCCACGCAATTTCGATTTCCCTTTTTCCTTTCAGGGAGGCGCGCGGACCGATCCGAGGCGTCGGAGAAAGTGCTGAGTCACCGCCCCCGGCGCGCCGGCGGTCTCCTGCTGCGCTCGCTTCCCTCCTCCTAGCCACACACACGGGCGCGCGCCTCGACTCGCCTCCCTCCCTGCGCCCGCCCGCCCGCCGGGGACAGAGGGCGCGCGCGCACATTGCACACACGCAAACGCCCAGGCGCGCGCGCGCACCGAGAGCAGCCTCCTTCCCCTTCCCCCTGATCACGTGCCCCACTGCTGCCGGGACGGTCACCAGCACCACCCCCTCCCTGCATCTACACACACACAGACACACAAGCACACACACAGCCGCGCAGCTGGCCTCTCTCGCTCCGTCCGCAGCCGGCACAGGCGCTTCCCCTCCAGGAGCCTCGCGGGGAAAGAGGCGCGGCGGGGAGGAAGAGAGAAGTAGCAGCCGCCGATCTCCTGTTTCGCCACCGGCGGGGGATCCTTCTCCTTCCTGCCGCCGCCGCCGCCTGGAGGTAGCTTTTCTCCTTGGCGCTGCCCCGGCCGGCTCTCCCCTCTCCCTTTCCCCGCCGCGCGCCCTTGCGCCGCTCCCCCCCCCCCCGGGGAGGCGCCATGGGGCTCCTGTCGCAGGGCTCCCCTCTGAGCTGGGAGAAGACGCAGCGCCACGCGGAGCACGTGCGCAAACACGGCATCCTGCAGTTCCTGCACATCTACCGGGCGGTGGGCGAGAGGCACAAGGACGTGCTCAAGTGGGGCGACGAGGTGAGTGGGGGCCGGGGAGAGGGAGCTGGAGGCCGGATCCAAGAAGCTGCTTTCCTTCCTCTCCTCTCCTTCCTTCTTTCTTTTTTTCTTTTCTTCCGTCCACCCGCCATGGCGCGCTTTTGCTGCTGCTGCTGCTGCTGCTTCAACTTCAACACAACAGCCTTGGCAGGTAGGCCGCTGGCCGCCCTGCCCTCGCCCAGCACCCTGCACGGTGCACATGTTGCATGGGGAGCGAGGTTCCTGGACGTCGACGGGGTTTGCTCCTGAAGAGGAATGTTTGGGGTTGTTTTGGTTGTTGCCCTTGGATCAGTTCAGGACATGGAAAAGCACAACATACCGGTACATAATACAATGGTACCTCGGGTTAAGTACTTAATTCGTTCCGGAGGTCCGTACTTAACCTGAAGCACCACTTTAGCTAATGGGGCCTCCCGCTGCCGCCGCGCATCCCGAAGCAAAGTTCTTAACCCGAGGTACTATTTCTGGGTTAGCGGAGTCTGTAACCTGAAGCGTATGTAACCCGAGGTACCACTGTAAAAAGAAAAGCAAACCAATAAGACACACACACATATGTGGGTTCCCTTGCACCCCCAATTCTGCTCGTTCACACTCAACCGAGACCATTTTTAGCTGTGTGAAACCTGTGTCAGCTTGGAAAGCCACAAGCGCTTCCAATTTAAAGCTTGTGTCTCTCTGTCGGTTTCAGAAGTGGTTTAAAAGGCTTGTATAGCATCCCTTATGAAAATGCCCTTTAGCTTCCCTCATGCATGTAACAGATTGTGCCTGGGTCTTCCCACATTGTGACTATTCAGTAGGCATGGTGCTTGTTTACTAATTAATGGGTTTGTATATGTTAGTCCTATCAGAAGGGCCAATAGGTGGTTGTAAGTGTGAATCTGTTCATTTACACCAATGCCACCTTGCTCTCCTGTTATCCCGAGTTAAAATGATTGAAGCAGTGTGTGCCTATATTTGCTACAGCAGTTAATACCACCAGTGTTATGAATGAGGTGAGGTGGGGAAAGAGATAAAGACAGGTTTCCCTACACTTTTCACTATCTTGGGTCATGTTTCTATTATCAAAACGCAAACAAAAACGGTTTTGGGTGGCAGTAGAAAGAGTTTTCAATATTATGATTTCCAGAATTTTGTTCATTAACCTTTTCTAGAAATTGAGGTGAGTGTAACCGATATACCTCTTCCAAAGTGTATGATGTCAAAGCTGAAGCTTTCTGTGCTCTTGTGTTTTGGCACTCTTCAAGTAATGCTAGAAGTTCAGGCAGCAGAAACGAAAGTTATGTCTGGAGGAGTTGCACAGCATTCCTAGTTTATTCTTTGGATCTGCCTTAAGATAGTTCTACTGTACATTGAAGCACCACCGTATACATACGTAATGTTCAGAATGTAGATGAATGTCATATGTAAACCAAACCTTTATAAACACTGGGCTGGACTGGGCATGGATTTCACTTCAATCTTTGGGATGCTTCAATGTGGTCGCCCCATATACAGCTTCTTAGTTGCTGGCCCAGAGGATGCTGGACTATATCAGCAGCAGCAGCAGTTCTTGAAAATTGTCCTTAAAACAATGTTGAATGATGGCACGTAAATTGTGTAAGAGAAATAAATACAATGATAGCATGACCTAATAATGAGTGGCAGGTTTTGTATATTATAAATCCTTAAATAGCCTTGAAGTGAAAGTGAAGGGTGGAAAAGCGTTATACTTGAGATACAGACGTGTGAAATGCATAGCTTGCAAAGGTTACCATAGGCCAGGGTGATTTAGCAGACAACTGAGCAAGGATTTGCATTTGGGGGAGAACCTCGAGGTGCACAAAAGTGTGCTTCATTGAGCCCAGCACATTTCTAATATGAATTTGTCATGTGCTCTTAGACGCAGCGAACTTGAGTCTTTGGTCTCCCAACTCGGTTGCAAAATAATTTGCAAGAATTTGAACACCAAAGACACAAGTTGATTGTGCCTAAGAGGTGTCTCTCCCCCCCCCCCCCAAAGAATAATGTTCATTGTGCTTCTTTTCTACTGCATCTGGTAGGTTGGGCTGGTTGAGAACATTATGGCACTTTTCATCCTCAGAGGCTCCAACCTGTGTTTTTTTTCCATTTGCAAGCCAACGTGAGTATTTGTATCTGAGGATGGTAGAAGAAAATGTGCAATGTGGGACAAGTTTTAATCTTTGCAGCTTACTTCGTATTGGGCACTTTGGCTGATGGATGTTGTTTATGAAAGGCATTACCCTGCAGTTCTTCTAAGCGTGCTAAAGATTTTAAATTAATGGGAGGAATTGCCATGCAACTTTATAACAGACATGCCTGTGATAATTGCTCCACACATTGTGGATTTCATAAAGCATCTCCAGACTTGTGCTGCCTAGGGCCATGGTATCTTATAAAAATTGAAGATGATTGCCCGTGGAAAGCTGCTATGTTGAAAAACATTCAAGACTCTTTTGTTAATTGTTTTTTATATATTGAAAAAAATCACACTAATGTAACATGTTCCTAAGTGGAGGATGAGATATTTACAAGTAATTTAACTCACCAGAAGAGAAGATGGAGCTAATATTTAGGAGCTACTTTTGGCCCCTCCCATGTTCACTTGATGCTTGTGTAAAAGACTTTTATAAGAATATCCTGGGTTTGCTTCATTCTTAGAGGCTTAACCTTCATGAAGATTAGGAACATCTTATACTGAGTGAGACCATTGGTTCATCCAGCCCAGTATTACATTTGACAGCAGCTCTCAAGGTTTTTAGACTGAAGGGTTTTCCCCCCAGTCCTACCTGAAGATGCAGAGATTCAGCCTATTAAATGCAAAGCATTTGCTGTATACTAATGAGCCGAATCCCTATTAAAAGTTGAAAAGTTACATAGCATATCATATCGTTATCTACACTGCATACAATGTATGTATATTTTATGTACACTCTTAACTTGTCTCATCAGGGGAAAGACAGCTGTTCAATACTATCAAAGTAAAAGTTTAATCTTGTCCTATAGCTGCTGGTTTTATGGTATTAAAATTAACCAGAAGAAACAGATCTTTGTTTGGTTAAATCTGTGAATCTGCTTGACAACAAACCATATTTGTTACTCTTGTTTTCTCTTTCTCTTGTTTTTTTCTTGTAGACTGTATTTTGTTAACATTTACAATATTAGAACAGTATCGTTTAATTTAGCATAGGGTGTCTTTGTCTGTTGTGCACTACATATTAATGCTGTGTCCAGCACACACTAAATTGTGTGTTAAAAGTTGACTCATAGAATTGTGGAGTTGGAAGGGTCCACTAGCGCCATCAAGTTCAATCCCTTGCAGAGTTCTGCACTAGGCTCTGTTCTTTCCAGTCTTACACAATTTTTTACTCAGAAGTAAGGTCCCTTATTTTAAAAATAACAAGTACCCTAAGGCCAACTTTAATTTGTAGAACCGTAAGTCTGAAAAAGAAACAAACACACATCTCTGACATAGCTGAGCATGTCAAATCCTACTGACTTCAGTAAGAGTTTTTGCCTCTGGGCTAATTTGGTTCTGGAGCGGCACTTCAAATGAGTCACAGCCTTTTTAAATTAATTTAAAGGTTCTTACACTTTCTTCTGATCCTGGAAAAAAGGCAACTAACTTGAAGCTTTATGCTATATACATTTATTTAAAGAAGTGTTTGCTTTTAAACATGATGCATGGTGTTTTGTAACCTGCCTGTCACCAAGTGGTCCCAAATTAGGAGTACATACATCATGAAAATAATACTAAAATGCAGTACACATATACAAATCTTTAAACTAATAATTAGAAAAATGTGCATCCCTGTTTTATGGAAGCAGGTGAATAAATAATTTCAAATTAAGTGACTTATAACAGTAAACTTCCCCTGACAGTATTAAAATACAAGTTTTATGAAAAGGGTTAAGGACAGCAATTAATGTTCTGTTCTCCAAGTAAAGATATGCGGACAACATCTTTCCGTAATGTTGTCTATGCCTTACATTTTCCTTTTCCAAATTTAGAAACATTTTCTTACGTCAAGCTTAGAAAAGAAAGTATAATTTTACAAATGCTGATTTGATTATTTTTTTTACATACTTAAATTTTCTATTGCTTTTGAATAACAACTAATTATATTCCTCTGCTCCCTTGGTCTGAATGCAAACATTTACTTCTCCTGTACCGCTTTTACTTTCGTCGGAGGTGTTTGTTTACTGAAAGAAAGGACCTCAGTAGACAACTGAAAGAAGAGGATAATGAGACATTTGTTCTTCTGCCTTGGAGAAGTTATTTCATATTATTCTACCTTGGTGCAAAGAAAGGGGTTTCGGCTCCTCCTCATGACACCCTGCCTGGGAGCATCCTTCCAGTCTGCAAACTGAGGCTGTGTGGAGGTTCCCATTTACTCTGCATCCAGTGATCTCCTGCCACGAATTTGTGAAGCCATGTAGGCACGATATTAGTCACAATTCAGATTTATCCCGTAGTTTCTTGAGTAATCCTGCATTTGGATTCATTTCCCCCAAAACCAGTTTTGATCTGATTTCAAAACATAAGCCATATGCGGACATCTCCTCTCTTGCCCACTGGTGTAGACAGGCAGCAGGAGATGTGGAACACACATGAAACCGTTCTGGTGTGTACAGCGATGTGCAGATATGATATGAAACAGCAGTAAACAACCTTTGCTGTTCTAATACAGTAATGTGCACACAGCCTTCGGTTGTGTGGTAAACATACTTCATTGCCCACTCCTTTGGCCAAGGGAAGGGAGAAACATGACTGTATTTCTCCACAAAGAAGCTTTTGTTCTTGTCATGGTTATTTGCCAGCCTATGGAAGAGCCCTAATGAGTCCCCGTTAAATAGGAGTTGTGCGGCATGGGTGTTTGGTGGGATTGAGCCCAAGAGACACAAATCTGCAGGCTTTGGTGTTCATGCATATCTGTGTGTGTTTAGGTGCTTCCTCTGAGCAAGGGGGAAATGCTCTCAACAGGCGGTGAGAAGCCCATGATGTACTTTCTCTTCACAGAAGAGAGCAGGAAACCTCTCTGTGTTTCTCCCTTTTGATCACACCCAAACTGTATTACGAACAGACCTCCTAAAACTTCAGAAAAGATTGTCGTACTTTTCAGTGTATAAGATGCCCCCATGTATAAGACATTTTTGGGATTCCAAATAGAGAAAATGAGGGGAGATTGCCCAGAGTTGTTGACCTTTTTTTTTGGGGGGGGGGTTGCCGAAAATCGCTCACCCGCAGGAACGCAACAGCCAATCGCACACACATCAGCGAAGACACCAATCGTCTGCACGCTCGCCAAGCACAAGCACCAATCGCCCACCTAATCGCCGCAGCAGCCAATAGCCAGTAGATCTTTCGGCACCCACCAATCGTCTGCAAATACGCCACGGACAATATCCTTCTCGCAGCAGCCACCAATTGCCCATCCCACCTCTCCACTATCCGTGTATAAAACAACCCCAAGTTTTTAGCACAATATTTTAAGAAAATAACCTAGTCTTATACATGGATTTATTTTTTTTTACATTTGAAAAATAGCAGCACATGTCATTTGGCTCCTAAGTTTTATACAGTCATACCTCGGGTTACAGACGCTTCAGGTTGTGTTTTTTCAGGTTACGGACCCGTGAAAACCCAGAAGTATTGGAACAGGTTACTTCCGGGTTTTGGCAGTCGCGCATGCGCAGAAGCTCTTAATCGCGCATGCACAGAAGCACCGAATCGCAACCCACACGTGTGCAGACGCGCCGCTGCGGGTTGCGAAAGTGCATCCCGCATGGATCATGTTCACAATCCGAGAGTCCACTGTATCTCGGTTTCTAACCCTGATCACAGTGTGCTATGGAAATCCTGGTGGACTATTACATTCCCTGTTGCTTCTTTCAAAACTCATTGTGACAAAGCTTACATAATGCAAGAACTTCCAAAGCATCATTCTGTTCTCAGTTGGTATCCTACAGCATTCACACATTTGAAGCTCAATCTTATGACTCTCGACTCAGAAACAAGTAGCACTGAAATCTGCAAAGTCTCTAGGATCACAGCCTTAGACCAAGGATTTAATAACCTGATTGTGTACAGGATTTTGCAGCCTTTGCTTTCTGTTAGTTAGTTGGTTGGAGTAACAAGCTTTAGGTGCCGGGATTTATTTTATACCTTCAATTGTGTGTCTAATATTGTTCTGGACGGAACAAATACATATATGCAGATGACTGGAAAAATAATGTTAATGCATGCAACCAATTTCCACACGTCTCTAATATTATTCCCCTACCCACCCACTCCCCCCAAAATAAAAGTCACTAAGTTTGTTCCCTAAACACAGCTTTGGCAGAATCTGAGAATTTGCTGGTAGCCTTACCAGCAGACTCAACAAACACAAAAATATAGCCAAACAGTATTTAGGAGTTCAGTCTCTTACTACCACAGTTGCCATGCATAGAGCTTAGAGGTGGAGATGAAGATGCAGGAAGTTTGGAAAGCTTAGTGTACAGTTAGTTATCAAGGATTCCTATTTTGGAAAGGTCTATTGTGTTTTCAGTTGGACAAAGCAGTACTTCGTACTGAATTTGCCACAGGGATGCCACTGATACCACTAGCAGGTATTTTCCCATCCCTGCTGTGACACATAGAAACAGACTGGACAATCAAGTGCCATGGCTTGGTGAGTTTCTATGCCTGTGATCTGTCACTGAAACTTACTGTAGGATTACATCTACTCACTGTGGCTGGGAAGAGGCAAATGTACTCTGTACTGGTGCAGTCATTCTTTAACAGATGCCTCTATCACAGCTTGCTTGGGTCACATAATGCCTGAGATTCCTCGCTTGTCAGAATTTTTCTAAAATGCAGATTCCTTGAATTAGACGTTTCAGGTTATTTCCCCAGTATTTCTCCTTTCTGCATTGTGTATATTTGTGTCTGCAATCAGTAGCTCATTGATAGTGACTAAATCCCATTTGGCTGAGAATATGTTTCAAATTAAAACCTCAGTTTAGGACTTCAATGTTAGTAAATTGAATCACATATTTGTAAATTGAATCACATGTTTGAAAAGTGAAGTAGGAAGAGGCCTCCCCCCCTCGTGAATTCACAAGGGAAAACAAATTGAAGCATAATAGAATTCTACAAAAGCACACATAAACAGTCCAGTTAAGAATCCCTTTTGTGTATTATGGGTTCAACCATAATAAACATCACTTTTAAAAAAATTGTCTGTTTTTATAGTATTGCCCTGCTTTGCAGTACACTGTTCAAAGAAAAGCACACTTTGTTCTCTATAATCTATCACATTTTTTCCCTTTAGTTGTGTACAAAATACTGTAATCTCTAGGTTTAGTTCTCTATAGTAAATCTAAACCCCGCTTCCTGGTTTGTGGTATGTGTTGCACATCCTTTAGTTATGTTAGACCACATGACACAGATTAGGGCACATTGCTCTGGTACAAATACAGGGGAAATGGCTAAGAGAAATACCTATGGCACATACAGAATCGCTTGTACAGTGGTACCTTGGGTTTCAGACGCTTCAGGTTACAAACTCCGCTAACCAGGAATTATTTGCTCCAGGTTGAGAACTTTGCCCCAGGACAAGAACGGAAATCGTGCACCGGTGGCATGGTGGCAGCAGGAGGCCCCGTTAGCAAAAGCACGCCTCAGGTTAAGAACGGTTTCAGGTTAAGAACGGACCTCTGGAATGAATTAAGTTCTTAACCCGAGGTACCACTGTACTCCCATGCAATAGATAGATTCATGTACAGTGGTACCTCGCAAGACGAATGCCTCGCAAGAAGAAAAACTCGCAAGACGAAAGAGTTTTTCGTTTTTTGAGTTGCTTCGCAAGACGAATTTCCCTATGGGCTTGCTTCGCAAGACGAAAAACGAAAAAAATGAAAACGTCTTGCAAGTTTGTTTCCTTTTTCTTAAAACCGTTAATACCCAGGGTGACTTCGAGGAGCAACTCATAGCACGCGTGTGGTAGCCTTTTGAGGTTTTTGAAGACTTTGGTGATTTTGAAGACTTTGGGAAACCGTGCTTCGCAAGACGAAAAAACTCGCAAGACGAAAAAACTCGCAGAACGAATTAATTTCGTCTTGCGAGGCACCAATGTATGCATATTTACAGTTGTGTGTCTCACACCAGTAAAAGCACATCAGGGATTGAAATGAGTCTTTTCCCTTAGCCGCGTGATTATGTAACAGGCTAATGCATCTATGAGGAAGCAACTCTTAGGCTTTTTCTGGTGTGTTTTTGAAAGAAACAATAATCTGAAAGGAATAGCATTAGTGCCAAATTGAATTTTCACAAATAAGGAAGACAGCAGATTAGTTCCCCATGGAGGGAAATTCTCATGGGTGGATCCCCCCCCCCATTGAAAACATCTTGAGGATCCTGAAAAACTACAGTGACATCTGCTGAGTATTGTCGCTTGTGGCTTTAGGGATTTGCAGGTTTGTAATCTTATTTGTGATAATGAAAGTTCAATAAAACACCTGAGATTCCTACCTACAGAGCATTGCCTTGAACCCGTCAATGTGTTTACAAATGATGGCTAGCCTGCCGTATTCATCTAGTGTGCTAAATGTTGTGTGTTCGTGTTTTTTCACATCAGGTGGAATACATGTTGGTAGTATTCGACCATAAAAACAAGAGAGCGCAGTTGTCCCTAACTGGAGGAGACGTTCTTCATGCTTTGCAAGAAAAAGGAGAAAGAGTAAACCCAAAGTAAGTAGCAACTGTCCTTAGAATTGGTCCACTTATTTCCTGAAGTTCAGGTGATTTTCTAAGTCAGTATCCAAGAGGTGAGCAGAACGTGGTTTGTATGTTATTTGCCACGTGGCAACTAGCGTTTATCAAAGTGGTCAGCTTTGATACAGGTTGTCATTTTGCATGCCAGAATACTGTTAATGCTGATGTCTCTGAGCAGTCTTTCTCAGTTCGGATGATTGGGACTCCCAATAGGCTGGTTTCACCGCCTGTCAGCCAGGAAGACAGGGGACCTGTGACACACAGCAATGTGGCCCTCCAAATGTTTGTCACATGCTTCTGGGTCTGGGTAAAGGTAAAGGGACCCCTGACCATTAGGTCCAGTTGTGACCAACTCTGGGGTTGCGGTGCTCATCTCGCTTTATTGGCTGAGGGAGCCGGCGTACAGCTTCCGGGTCATATGGCCAGCATGACTAAGCCGCTTCTGGCGAACCAAAGCAGCGCACGGAAATGCTGTTTACCTTCCCGCCGGAGCGGTACCTATTTATCTACTTGCACTTTGACGTGCTTTTGAACTGCTAGGTTGGCAGGAGCAGGGACCAAGCAACAGGAGCTCACTCTGTCATGGGGATTCGAACCGCCGACCTTCTGATCGGCATGTCCTAGGCTCTGTGGTTTAACCCACAGCGCCACCCGCGTCCCTCCCTGGGTCTGGGTAGCAGGAGTTAAACCCAGAATATTAGAGACATCTCAGCCCATGTAGAAAGAACCTTCACGGCAGCATTCAAAATTCGCCAGGCACATTTTGCACCTGGCTATCGGCCACTTGCGACCCGGACGTGGCACCTGGCGTCTTCACCATCTCGAGGTGCATGCCTGGGGATCCTTGTATCTTCACTGTTTTCACACACTAACAACACATCCTGTAGAATCCTATCCATGATATTTTATCTGCACAGTCTGAATGGATTTCAGGAACCAAAAAGTTGTATTGAAAAATACGACTTTCAAGCCATCTGGCCCCAAATGGCAACTAGGCATTCCGTTTTGGCAGCCATTTGGTGCCCAGCTTAGATATCTGCTTCATGGTAGGTGGCCAACATTCTCTTTCTCATAAAGATGATGGTCTTATAAACCTAAAGTAGACTTAGTCCACTCTGGGCAAACTGATCCAGCTGAGCAGGTTCATAAGTCTATGGCAGAAAACACATGATTCCAAGCTAAGCATTCATTCTTATATTCATCCTTTATACCTGACTTCATTTAGCAATGTTTTCTTTCGAAATGTTTAAAGAATTTTTTGTTTTGTTAACTTTGCTTGTGTTAAATATGTGTTCTGTAGTTGATCTCCTTTGTAATGTTTTACTTTGAAATCTTTTAAGATAATATTTAAGTTGCCTGTTAATTTATGTTGGCTTTGACTGTATGCTTTATATTTGACTTTCTTCAGTAAAGTTTTATTTTGGATTGTTTTATTTGATGATTCAAATGTGCTGTAAATGGCTTTGAGTTATTTTAAAAATATAAAGCGGTAAAGAGATGATGTTGATGATGATAGACTTACAGCAGTGGTGTCCAAACTTGGCCCTCCAGCTGTTTTTGGACTACAACTCCCATCATCACTAGCTAACAGGACCAGTGGTCATGGATGATGGGAATTGTAGTCCCAAAACAGCTGAAGGGCCACGTTTGGCCACCACTGACTTACAGTCACAGTTGTATGCTGCCCTTGCCGTTGGTCAAAAAGATTTCAAATGCACCATTGCTTCCTTCACAGCCATCCAACTCTGTGGAGGCCAGAATATGGAAGCTATATGATTGAGGGGACCCCTGGGCAACCCTATGGAGGGACAATGTCTGAATTTAACACTGTGCAAGACAACATGAGAAAGCGACGCCTGGAGGCTGCTTCTGTACTGAAACAAAACGAAGCTGTTTGCACTGTGACATCATTTCCAAGGTTTGTCTCCATCCTTCTAATATGGGCTGAAACAGCGTTAATCATGCTGCCCACCAGGGCTGAGTGTGCCCTGAGAAGCCCAGGAATAGCAGGCATTCCTCCTGCTTTTTCTGTCCTCCTCCAGGGTTTCTTGCAAGCTGGAAAGCCATTGCCTCTTCCTCCCAACTCTTTGCACAGAAGGTGGGTGTCTTACAGCTGGTGACTTATCTAACAGGGCTTTCGTCAAGCCCTCTATCTGCTTCCTAATCTGGAGATTAGTGTATTTATACAGAGTACCCGTAACTATTTCCACTTCTGTCCATGTGAGAAAGTTGTGCCCAACCCCGAAGTATTTTGTCTTTACGTTACTTTCCTTTTTGTTTTGTTCTGACGTGTTTGTAGTAATTTCCAGCTTTTATATGTTTTTGACTATTTTTAAAAGCCTTTCACGGTTTGCTTTGAAATGTGTAGACTGGGCTGTCCAGGATTTACGATACCAGAGTGTGTGCCTACCCCTGTTGAGACAGGAGCCTCCAAGTCTCTCTTCTTCCCGGACGAAGCCATTAACAAACACCCCAGGTTTAGGTGAGTATATTTCAGAATGAAGAGAGTTGTCCTTTCTCTCTGGATGTGCAAATCGTAGAATAGTATTTCCCTTTTGGGTGGAAAGCAAAACTTTACCGGAGGATGTAGTGCTTTTGAAAACAAGCTGCGTACTTCTTTTTCCTGTGTGCCCCCTAAAACTGTTCTGGAGCAGATTTGAGGGTGGCAGTGCAGGGAAAGGTGCGTGCGAGGCAGCAGCATGAGCAGCCAGACGTCCTTCCCAAATGGAATTGCTTTTTTCTGAATACCACCTGAATAAAGTGTACACTCATTGATACTTATAAACTCCTTCAGGTTTAAATTTCTTTGCTCAGTAGTATATGTAGAATATGTATATGTTGACTGTGGCCAGCTTCTGGTACAGTTTTATTGACATCTGATGAACTTTCCTTACATTAGGAGCAGGTAGTTGAGACTTGCACACCCCTTTCTCCTCAAAGGAATTTCTCTATTTATAAACTGGTTGAGGCTGTGCAGAGGTGTGTGTGTGTGTGCGTGTGCGTGTGTGAAGACCCTGACGGCTTGCTGCCTCCTGGCAACTGCTGCAGCAGCAGAACATTAGATTATCGTTGAAGATAAATAAATTCTGCTCCCCTGGCTTTCTCTTACAGCTTTCTGTCATAGTTGTAGCAGTATAACAATGACTACTTGCTACTTTGCCAAACCTTTATATTAGGCATTACAAATATAGGCCGTCATAAAACATCCCTATCTAAAATTTTAAAATATATACAAATAAACAGCCATGTAAAAATATGTCATAATGAGGATTTTCATGGGAGTTTCTTCCCGCTAAATAGTGCCATTCACTACTCTGAGAGATACTGTTGATAAAAATTTGCAGTTACTTCCAGGTTAATGTCAGACAGATAGAATCTGATATTTTCATTGTGCCATGATGTTAGACTACCCAAAAAAGGGGGAAAGCACGTGTTTGTGTAGTTGGTTGTACCATGGACAGTAGAAAAGAATATGTTCTGCTGTGTCCGGCACATTCAGAAAAACAGCCACAATGTCTATCGTTTCTGGGGATGTTTAAATATCTGCCCTTGACAAAAGTTGAGGGGAAAGTGTTCAGTCGGGCTAATTTTGAAATGTAAGTGACCCTGTTATCTGTTGTATTTAAACCATAAAACTTGGGGGAGCAAGTTGTATTTACAGCTAACTCAATATTTTGTTTTTCAATGTCCCTTAATCTGATTTTAATATTACGATAATTGTATTGCTCACTTGAATTATACAAGAGTTCCAAGTCAATACCAATAGATCTGATTTTTCTATGTAAGAGTTGGAACCATCTGGATTTATAAGAGTCCTTAAATAAGTCAGAAATCAGACTCGAAGGCTGGAAATTGAAATCGCAACGCAACCAGTATTTTATAGTGCTAGCCCACACCCAATATTCCATCGTGTGTATATCTAGTTCTGCACACATCGTCTCATACTTGATTGAACTTGGGAGCCCCAGGATATGTCTCAAGAAACTTGAGCGTTTCTTATCTAAATCACTATTATATGCTTGTACAGTGGTACCTCAGGTTAAGTACTTAATTCGTTCTGGAGGTCCGTACTTAACCTGAAACTGTTATTAACCTGAAGCACCACTTTAGCTAATGGGGCCTCCTGCTGCTGCCGTGCTGCCAGAGCATGATTTCTGTTCTCATCCTGAAGCAAAGTACTTAACCCTAGGTAATATTTCTGGGTTAGCAGAGTCTGTAACCTGAAGCGTATGTAACCTGAGGTACCACTGTATCTGTATTGGGATCCCAAAAAGTTGCTGGGACACCACTTTAGCTTGAAAAATTTGAATAACGGTTGGTATAAATTTGTTACCTTTCTGAAAATAAAAGCAAGCTATATATAGTAGCAGAATATAACATTTCTGCTTCAGAGGATTCTTCATCCAGGGAGTCCTCTGAAGCAGCAGTGCTGTTCTGATACAAACCTAGCTGAGTAGGAAGATGGTCCGCAAAGGAAAATCCAGAAAAAAGTTAAAATTAAAAGTTTACACCTAAGTTTTAAAAATAAAATAATATTTTGCTAATCGCTAAAAAGGGTGCGGCTGTTGTTTGTTGAGATGGCATTTCAGCAGGTTCCTTTTCCGTTTTAGTACTTTAACAAGAAACATTCGACACAGAAGAGGAGAAAAAGTAGTGATAAACGTACCAAGTAAGTGAGCAAATAATTTGCTTTTCAAAAAGGGAAGTAGGACCATTAGCAACGGGTTTAACTTTTTGTCACCCTGTCTAATGCAGTATTTAAAGACAAGAATACTCCGTCGCCGTTCATAGAAACATTCCCTAATGATGATGGTGAAGGGGCAAGAGCAGTCAAGCCTGACCATGTCTACATGGATGCCATGGGGTTTGGAATGGGCAACTGCTGCCTTCAGGTAAACTCGCGGAAACAAATGCTTTAGCAAATATATATATTTTTGCTAGTGCTTTTAAGCAATATTAACTTCCATATTAAATCCTGCAGCTCCTGCTTACATAAAGTGATTGTATAGCCTACTGGCTAGCCATCCCTAGGAGGAAAGTGAGCAAGCAACTGCTTGGGAGACCATACTGGGATTTCCCATTACAATTGCATCTTCATATCTGCATGAAGGGGTTGGTTGCAGTTGGTTAAAATAGTGCAAGTGACCATAGGCTTTTGCAGCTTTGGTGTCAGGGGGAAGTTGGTTCTACAGCTTGCTAAAGTGACTGTGCATATTTTATTTCTTTTGGTTTAAGAGCGGTTGGCTTGATATCATCCTACAGGTAACATTCCAGGCTTGCAGCATCTCTGAAGCAAGATACCTTTATGATCAGCTAGCGACCATCTGTCCCATCGTGGTGAGTGAGTGGTAGAATTTATTCCGCCAAACATTATATAATTCATAAAGAAAATCAACATAAAGAAGGTCAAGTGTGTGTGTGTGTGTGTGCGCGTGCGCGTGCGCACGCGCAGGTCAAGTGAAATTGTGTATAACAAACCCATTGAAAAATCCTGCAAATGTCCCGCTCTGCCCTTTTAGTGACGTTTCAGTGATATCTTTGTGGGGTCACTTCAGGGTTCAGCGCGATGCACATATGCACGGCCACACACATATTGAACGTGTGTAAATGTGTGTGTGTGTGCCCACATTCTATTGAGTACAACAACCTTTGGGTTTCAGGTTATATTGGCCTTAACGCTCATATCTCTTAATTAGATTTTTGTCATAAGTAAGGATAACTTTTGTTTTCAAACAAGATATTACAAAAAGTTAATGGCTTCCACCTAGCGTGTAAGTGGTGTCACTGCTGCGCTTACCAAAGAAGTTCAGGTAAAATAAGAGTTTGAAAAATCCTATTTTACTTTCACAGCATTTGTGAAACAGGCACTTAAAGTTGAACTCTTTGGTGCCTCCTCACTGTGGAAACAAAAAGATATAAGGAAAGTGGCGCTGTTTTAGGAAGTGGTAAGGGAAGACTGGTGGTGAATGGCAGTAGTCAATAACAAAATTATGTATGAATTATTATTTTAGTAGATCATGCTTTATCTTGTGTTCTGTGTTAATTATTATAACGCATTTCGTATATTGTATAAATTTTATTTTTAAGGGAAAAAATCAGCAAGAGAGGCAGGGCAACAGAATATTTGTTGCAAAGGCCCATGTACCCCATAAGATCCAACCCTAACCTTATGGTGTTCAAATGCACAGGGCTCTGCACAGGTTTTCTGAATACTACCAACTTGGGGGCACTTTGCAAGAACTGATGGAGGATGAGAACACAGGGGTTCAGAGAAGTGGTCCAATCACCCTAGAATGAGATTTGCAGAGCAATTTGTGCGCGATGTGTTACGTTATGCCAATAAAATGCTCTCTTTGGAACTGGGTATGCTTGCACAACTTGCTTGCCTGGGGATAAAAAAAGCCCTGTCCTGCTAGGTGAAGTCTTTTTGCCAACTGATGGGCAACACCGAACGAAACCCAGTTGTCATTTTTTAAAAAATAGAATGAGGTATATCTCATAGGACTCCCTCTGTATATGCTTCTTCCTGGAACATAAATATGCAGCTGTAGTACACTGAATGAGATAGTGCATGCTAGATTAGGAAGAGGGAGACTATATTAGAGAATGCTAACCGAAGCTCCACATTATATGTGTTTTATTAGCCAAAAATGTGCTGCTATTCAGTAAGATACAGCTCTTGTAAGAGTTCTCTGGTTAAAGGCAAGTTGTGGGGGGGACGTGCCTTGTGTTTCGGAACGAAACATCTTTAGCTTTAAATGGCGATACATTAGCAGTTTTCTGTACTTCCTGACGCTTTTCTTTTAGATGGCATTAAGTGCAGCAGCTCCCTTCTACAGAGGCTACGTGACAGATATCGATTGCCGTTGGGGAGTGATATCTGCCTCCGTAGACGACAGAACGAGGGAGGAGAGGGGATTGGAGGTAAGTGCACACAAGGACCTGAGCGATAATAATAACAGCCTGTGTAGCAAATGCTTCTGCAGTATGTATTAAGAGTTTGCGTTGCCTTGGGACAAAGGCCAGGGCAAAACGTGAGAAGTTTTTTTGGCTTGCTGGAGATCTCTGTAAAGGAGCATGAGTCAAAGCAGGGACCTCTGAAGTGTTTTGTGGTGCCTTAGCTGTCCAGGCACTTTAAAAAAAGGGCTACAGGCACTTAGGAAAATGACCATAATCCACTCTGGTTTGGGCTGTACAGTAGTACCTCGAGTTACAGACACTTCAGGTTACAGACTCCGCTAACCCAGAAATACAGACTCCGCTAACCCAGAAATAGTACCTCGGGTTCAGGATGAGAACAGAAATCGCGCAGTGGCGGCAGTGGGAGGCCTCATTAGCTAAAGTGGTGCTTCAGGTTAAGAACAGTTTCAGGTTAAGAACGGACCTCCAGAACGAATTAAGTTCTTAACCCGAGGTACCTGTGTGTGTGTGTGTGTGTGTGTGTGTGTATCATCCCTTTTAGCAAAAAAACCAAAGCAAAAAACACTCTAATGCCATTTTTTAGCTTTCTGTTAGTGAAGGGGAAGGAATGAAGAAGACTTGGACCCCTTGAACTGGGTCTTCCAAGTCAATTTGGGCTGCTTTATGAAGCACCAAATTGGGATTCAACCCAAATGGCATGCTCAGTGCGCACTCCTAGTATATAGCCTTAGTTACAAAATGGTTGTTTTTAAAAATTTTAAAAATCAAGTTTTAAATTGAATACAGATTTGGCTAGTTAACAAAGGTTTCACGTGGGGTTTTTTGGGGGTTTTTTTTTTTTTAAAAAGCTCTTTTGGCACAGGAATGGGGAGCTTGTGGACCTGCACACCTTGTTGGACTACAACTCCCATCATCCCTGACCTGTTATGATGCTGGCTGACGACTGCTCCCAACAGTTTTCCATAGATACTAAATAGGGTTTGTAACAAAGTAGTGCAGCCATTTTCTACGCTCTGAAACCACCCCCTTGGAACCAAACCACGGTTCAGGATAATGCTGTTGTTGATGGTTCAAGAGCCAATGAGAGATCAAGCAGAATTAACAGGGTTGCGCTCCTGTTGTCTTGATAAAAGTCATCCATTGACAAAGGTCCAGATCACAAGCAGTAACCAAGGTTTGTTCTTGGCTTATGGCTTGTGGGTTGCTTGGTAGAAACACCATGAGCATTGGTTCAGACAACAAAACATGCCAGACTGGAGGCTGTTTCCTCTTTGTGGCGCAGCAGTGAGTGGGGGAAGAGGGGGAATTTTTAAATAGCATACACCAACTCAGTGCTTGTTCACGTGAAATCATGGTTTGTTGTTTAGTGTGGCGTGAACTAGGCCTGCTTTTGGTATCTATTGCCAGGTAACATTTATAATTACTAGATATGGTTACTATCACTAGATTCCCCCCCCTTCTTCTTAAATTACACAGCCGTTGAAGAACAACCGCTACAGAATCAATAAATCCAGATACGATTCCATAGACAGTTATCTCTCTGAATGTGGTGAAAAATACAATGACATTGATTTGACGGTAGATAAAGAAATCTACGAGCAGTTAGTAAAGGAAGGTAAGTTTATTTGAAACTGCGTGACAGTGACGTTTATGTTGATTTCTGTCTTAACAATACGTAATCTGTAAGAAGGGCTTCTTGTGATGAATTTTGCAGTAGCTGTGCTTGAAATACCATGGCGCGTAAAGTAGGATATTTATTAAGGAATTTTCTGAAGAGCACACCTCATCTAGAAAACAGATTTTGTTCTTAAGTAGTAGGAAATAATGGATTAGCAACAAATAGCAACACTACAAGCCACAAACCATAATTCCCTTTATATTCGCAAAAGCTCATAGGTTTATGGTGATTATCATCATCAATCTTTGTTACGGTCCAGAGACCCAACAATTATGGTGATTATTCCACTTCTCAAATAATTCTTAGTGAAGCAACTGCAGGCAAATATGAATTCACCTAGTTATCATATTTGACAGGCCAGTTTTCTTCTTAATATTGAAAAGTGTCCCAATTTCTTGATTTTTATAGGCATTGACCATCTGTTGGCCCAACACATTGCTCATTTATTTATCCGTGATCCTTTGACTCTGTTCGAAGAGAAAATACATCTGGATGATGCAAATGAATCTGACCACTTTGAGGTTGTATCTTATACTAGTGTCCTAATAGTAAAAGCTGTATTTTTTCTGCTTAGTGTACTATGGACTGCTGTAGAGCATGCAACATGCAACTACATTCAGATAAGCCAAGTGATTTGCAGTAGTTTGTGGTCCATGGGCATTTCTTAAATTACAAGTGTATCCATGTTGGAGACATAGAATAGACTTCGTTGCCCATTGTCTAAATTTAAATAATCAGATATCAGCAGAAGTGCAGAGTGAACCAAAAATATCTAAACGTACGGGTAAGCATTCAGAGCAAATGTCAGTATTGACTTGAAAAGACTCCTATAACTCATCTGGCACAGTGCAAAAAGCAAGTGAAAGGACAGACAAAGTGTGCTCTCACTGGAACCAGCATCCTGTCTGAAGAGCTGCATCAAACTCTACTGAAGAAACAATAGTTTAAAACGACAGAAATGTGCTCACAATCTTAGTTTCAAATTATTGCTCTTTTGTTGAGGTAGAATAAAAGCCACATGGTGTGCTAGTTAGGATTTTAGACTAGAACCAGGGAGGCTTGCGTTCAAATCATGACGCTCACTGTGTGGCAAAAACAGTTTAATTACCACTCTTGAAGCTGTTAGAGGTCATAGCCTTAATGTGTATTTATTGTCTCTTGCAGAATATTCAGTCAACAAACTGGCAGACAATGAGATTCAAACCACCGCCTCCAAATTCAGATATTGGATGGAGGGTTGAGTTCAGACCAATGGAGGTAAGTAAGAAGCATGTTTCATAGATAGTACTGTTAAACCACAAAGCCTAGGGCTTGCCGATCAGAAGGTCGGTGGTTCGAATGCCCGCGACGGGGTGAGTTCCTGTTGCTCAGTCCCTGCTCCTGCCAACCTAGCGGTTCGAAAGCACGAAGTACAGGTAGATAAACCTTCCGATGGGAAGGTAAACAGCGTTTCCATGCACTGCTCTGGTTCGCCAGAAGCAGCTTAGTAATGCTGGCCACATGATCCAGAAAAACTTTCTGCGGACAAACACTGGCTCCCTCGGCCAGTAAAGTGAGATGAGCGCCGCAACCCCAGAGTCGTCCACGACTGGACCTAACAGTCACAGGTCCCTGCAAATGAAAACTTTACAGTCCAAAGCATAGAGTTGAAGGGGTTGTAGCTGTCTATTCACATCTGTCATGTATGTCTTTTTAAAGAAACATCAACGGTTTTGATAAGGTGTGCAGTTCAGCTTCACTCAGATCAGTGGTGATTCTTGCCACTTGATTTCACTGCCTGGTGTGTTGCACCCAGTCTCTGTCCAAACACGAGTAATAGGTATGGACATCTTAAAATCATGAAGGGCAACTGCTTTTATATCATGGCTTAATTCCCCCCCCCCCCCCCAGAATATAATCCACAAATGTTAGCTTCTGGGTATAGAAAATAAAAGTGAGTGCGTGTGTCACTACTTTGCTAACGCTACAGTAATGGAGACTGTTAGCGGTCCTGGGAAGAAATTGTGTGGTGAGGGGAAGCTCTGATCTATACATCACTTTCCAGCTTCTAACTGGAATTTCCTTCACTCTGGGGCAGAGGCCCCATGTTTGCTTGAATGCAAGATTCCCCCCTACCCTGCAAGGTAGAATCCACTTAATCTAATGGGTTGAATCCTTGCAGGCTCAGGGATATTCTGTGCCCGAGAAAGTATGGGGTGTCTACTGTTTTTGCTCCATTGTGGAAGAGGGCACAAGCCCAAAGGCCATTCCCAGTCTCCTCACTGTTGTGTGAGTTTCAGAGCAACAGAGCAAAAAAGATTTCAGACTGTGAACTTGCTGCTCAACCATGTTACTGGTTCTTCTGGCACACTTGTCCATCTTATATTCGGTGATTTCTCAATCCCTAGGTCCAGTTAACAGACTTTGAAAATTCTGCCTACGTTGTGTTTGTAGTGTTGCTGACTCGAGTCATTCTCTCCTACAAACTGGATTTTCTCATTCCTTTGTCCAAGGTAAGAGGAGCATTTTCTTCCTCGGTCTAATGTATTCAAACCGTGAAAACATTTCCTATTCTCACCTAAGATTAAAATACACATGCTCCCCTTTGTATGTATTACAACTTTCTGTAATTTTTTTTTTAATTGCTTTTGTTAGTTTTTTAAAAATTCTGTTCATGGTTTGGAATCCAAGGTTACGTGAACGGAAGGCAGCTCACACAACTGAATTTTCTCCATTCTCAAAAGGCTTCTCTGGAGTGTGCCTTGCAAATGGTGCCTTGCAAATGGCATAGGCTGTGTTTGAAGAGGGATCCCTTGAGAATAGGGAATTGCCTAAATGTGTGTGGAGCCACTCTGTTGCACAGTGGTCCTCTCTCCAGTTCTGCGACTATAGTTGCAGAAGTAGGGTTCCACTCCAAAGTATAGTTCTGTTAGCTTTCCTAATATTCTGATTTTGTGGTTTTCGGAGACCCTTGCCCAAGTCAACTTCTTTGCTAAAAAGAACCCCATGTCTTGCAGAAAATTCTAGGCTGTTTTGTAGGATGTGCACTTGGCCTGGAAAGATGCCTAATACTTCCCGGAATCTGTAGTTTCCTGTAATAGTTTTGCAAACCTCGCTTGACAGGGTGAGCACTGGGAACGCAGGAAGCCACGTTACGACCAGGTGGAACGTTTCTCTAGTCCAGTATTGTCTGCACTCACTGGCAAGATCCCAAGCAGAAGTCTTTAGCCTTTTAACAGGAGATGCTGCGAACTGAACCTGGTGCTAACAAAGCACGCCAACCCATTTTGCATTGAACTTCCCGCAAGAAATCAGACTTTCAAACTGAGCACTCTGGTTCCGTGTGAATGTGAATGTTAAGCTGTGAAAGGGGGAAATGTCTCTGTGTGTGTGATGTCTAGTTGCTTTCTATATATTTAAACTAGTAAGTAAGTGAACAGCTCAAAGTCGTCTCAAATTGCTAAATTCCTCCCTATGGTTGTGTACATGAATAAACAAATGTGTGCCCAGAATAGCTTGTGAGGTGGCAACCATTTTTCATCGTAGTTGCTGTCGGAGGAACTGCAGTTGTGACCAAGTAGATGGCTTGCTGATTCACCCTGAAGTTTTCCCCAAGTGCCACTTGTGTAAATGATCGCGTTTAGGAAGCCAACCCTATGAAATGCAGTTTCCAAGACTCTCAGACCTAGACTGAACATTTCCCTTGCTACCACCATCTAGTATATAACCTTTCTCCCCCATGTCTCCATTCGCTAGGTGGATGAGAACATGAAAGTAGCTCAGAAACGGGATGCTGTTCGGCAAGGCATGTTTTATTTCAGAAAAGACATTTCTAAAGGTAGGCTCCTGTCTGTCTGTCTGTCTGTCTGTTTGCTGGTCGGCTTTATTAGACACTTGAAGTATATACGATGACCAGTGATTAAGTTAATTCAATGAGAAATTTAGTTTTAGAAAACTGTTACAATGATATACACTGAAATTCAGCCAGGGGGATTTGAGGAAGTCACTTAACAATGTTACTAAGATTGGATTAAGTACAATTAAGAGGTTTGTTTGTTTGTTTGTTTGTTTGTTTGTTTAAAAATTTTGGAAAATCAATTAAAAGGGGGGGGGTGAATGAAGTATGTATGATGAGCATGAATCTAACGGTTTTCTCTAGCTGTTCTGTGTTCTCTTTCCTCCCCCCGCCCCCCCAAAAATGTGTCTTCGTCTGAAAAGGTGGCAATGCTGTAGTGGACGGATGTGGGCCAGCTCAAAATGGTACAGAGACAGATTCTGAAGAGTATACCTTAATGAGCATAGATACAATAATCAATGGAAAGGTGAGGACGGCTTCTACATTTTAAACAAGGCGGAAGCTTCATATTAAGATCCATAAACAGACTGCAGGGAAGTGAAGACGCTTTCTCTTGTCTCTCCTGGTGTATACCTTTGATGCTCTGCTCCTTGCTCCAGCGACTTCCAACCAGCCCAGTACCCACCCACTACCCTCAGGGAGTTTTCAGTCTTGGTGTATGAATAGGGATGGGATGGAGGGCCTTAACTTCCTTAACTTTCTCTGGATTGGGCAGGGGTAGGATTCAGTAACGTTGTGGGCCTAAAGCATTCAGGCAGGAGTCTCGGATTTGGGACTCCTGAGGACAGAAGATGATGGATGCTGATTCACAAGACACATGTAGAGCCCTGTTGGACTGGGCAAAGCCCCGTCTACACAGACCAACCAAATACCTTCAGTATATGGCAGTGTAGTTTTGTTAATTCGTTTTGAAATTTATATCCCACCTTTCCGCCGATAATCTCATGGTGGCGTACATGGGAACTCCCCATTTTATCATTAGAAATAACCCTGAGAGGCAGGTTAGGTTGAGACAGTGACTGGCCCAAGGTCACCCAGATCTTAATTGGCTGAGTTGCCTGTCTTTCATTTTGACTTAGCCTATAAGACAAGGGTGGGGAACCTGTTGCCCTCTAAGATGTTGTTGGACTACAACTCCCATTATTCCATTGGCCATGTCTGCTGGGACAGAAGGGAGCTGGAAGGCCACGACAGGTCAAGTTTATGGGGTCTCAAACTAAATTTTCTTAGACTGTTAAGACAGGTTGAGAATCCCTTGGAAGAGGAAACCTTGGGTTTGAAGTATTCGACTAAAAGGAAAAACCTTTTATTTCAATTATGATCTGCCTCTTGCAGGAAGGAGTATTTCCTGGATTAATTCCAATTTTGAACTCTTACCTTGAAAATATGGAAGTGGATGTAGATACAAGGTGCAGCATTCTAAACTACCTGAAACTCATTAAAAAGAGAGCATCAGGTAAGGAAACGCTCTTGGCATCACCAGTGATACAGGTTTTTGGAAGTATTTGAATCGGAAAGCTTTTAATGTCCTAAGTAGAATAGTACATGATGCAGCCTGCTCTGGTTTTAATTTAATTTTACTTTATTTGACCTTCTCTTTTGCCAACTCCTTTTATCACATTCATGTCTATTTATTTGCAGCAGCCTAAAAGTTAACTACAACTCTGACTGCAAATCACCTTTCCATTTTATCCATTTGTTTTTGCTAAATAGTTTCTCCCCCCCCCCATAGAAGTAAAACCTTCAGAAATTTAAAAACTCTGTAGAAAAACAGGAATGCAAAAAAATGTTTTTGTGGATGATGATAGGGAATGATGATAGAGAAACTTGATAGAACTTGTTTTATTTACAATGTGGTTTGAGATGTACAGTCGTACCTCGGAAGTCAAACGCCTTGCGAGTTGAACGTTTTGGCTCACGAGCGCCACAAACCCGGAAGTGAGTGTTCTGGTTTGTGAGTGTTCTTTGGAACCCAAACATCCGACACAGGTTCCGCAGCTTCCTGCAGCCAATTGGAAGCTGCACCTTGGTTCCGGAACGGATTCTGTTCGACTTCCAAGGTGTGACTGTATCTGAAATTGGTGTTTTACTATTGAAACCCAATGAGTGCTTTACCTGTATTCCTTGCGTTGGATATGCAGATGGTTTGAGACAGCACCTTGGAGCTTGTATTCAGTTATAAAAGGGCCTTGCAAAGTAAGTTACCTCCTAAAACAGAAAGCAAAGGGATGGGTATATATTCTCACAGTAGATAAGAAAATGTGAATTTGTGTGATGTTTTCTTCTCCCCCAGGAGAATTAATGACAGCTGCTCGATGGATGCGAGAGTTCGTCGCGAACCACCCAGCATACAAACACGACAGTGTGATTACTGAAGAGATTAATTACAGCCTGATTTGGAAATGCTACCAAATCGCCGAAGAGCAAGTTGAATGCCCTGAACTGCTTGGTAACAAAGTAAAATACAGCGGAACTAAAACCAGCACTTTTTGATGAAAGGTTTTAATCCATTGGGGGGGGCGGGCATTCTCTGCTAAAGCACTAGCTATATTTACTGGTGTGAATACCTGCAGTTTCATAGTGTAAAGACCAAAAATGGTTCTACTGCACTATTAAGATGGGCCAATCTGCCTAATATTCTCTTAAAACTTCCTACGATAGGTGTATTCTTATATTTAAGGTTTATACTGTGTACATGTAAATAGTAAAATATTTTTTTGATTTAACATCAATGTATTTTAATAACATTATACTGAAAGTCATTGTGAACCAGCTTGTAACTTTTTATATGCTTATTCTGGAAGAAAAAAGAAAAAGTCCATGTTCTCAAACAGCTTTGCAAAGGTACTGTATGGGTACTTGTATATTATCAGCATTCCAACCTTGAATGTTTACTCTGACTTTTGTTACCTGGGATGCACTGAATCTACTGTACTTTAAAGAAAAGAAAAGAAATCAGAACCCGATTCACATAGATATATCTTCCCGTTCTGCCAAGAGAAGAGATAATAGCAGTGCCGATCCTTATGCCATGGAAGGCGGAATCAGTAGATATTAATTCTACTATTGTAAATGAAATACGGCAAATCTGAAATTCTCCCTCGTTTATTCAGTTTGGGTATAAATCGGTATGTTCCTATACTAAGAGTGTTCTTGCCCTTTTTGCAAAACTCTTGACACCTTCAGTTAAATGGGAACGTGTCACTGATGTGTTGCTTCCTAATAGACAGAGAATCTTTTAAGCTCCTTCGAAATCACTTGTTGCAGAGGAGTAATTAGTAATTGGCACACGCCTCCTCTGTGGTTGAAGGCAACATGACCCTAGTAAGGATAACAGAAGTTACCATAACTCCAGTATGTTCTTACTTCGCTATTTTCCGGCTCAGTTCATGCAGTGGTGGCTTGTAACCTGATGGTCAGACTCAATCAGCAGACTGGGCAAAGAAGCAATTTTTGGTGATTTCTTCCCCGCCCCCTTGCTCCAGAAGGTCCCTTCAACAGATTGTGGGGGATGGAGCGGTACAGGGCAAGGGGGGAGGGAATCAACAGTTGTGCACCTCCATTTTGCTGCTGCAGTCTTTCCACCTCATGTATTTTCCCAGGGCATAAGATCTGGAGCCATGATGGAGCATCAGGCAAGTACCTTACCCCATTCTTCAGCTCCACTATACTTGCAAGCAGCTCACTGCATACCTGGAGAGACCCCAATCGCACATTTATTCGCTCTTTTAAAAGCTTGAAAGGAAAACAAGAGCTTCAGTTCTGTCTTAAAGTCTAGACTTGGATGCGGCAAAAAAAATAAGAGGATATTAAATTGCAGCAAGCAGATTTCAAGATAAGGTTTTCTCTCTCTTTGTGACGCAGTTAAACGTGCCCAACATTTCTTATAACCTGCATCCTCTTTAGTATATAACTAATGATTTCAAGAAGAATCATGAAATGCACTAATATATCTGTGAGTCAGGAACCTCTGAAACATAAAGGAATTGTATAGAATTTAAGACAATGGCTGTGATTTGTACATAATAATAACCTGAGATTTAGAGGGAAAGAAGAGGCTTTAATATTAGCTGCTTAAAGTAAGACTACAGTAAGTCACTTTTACTGTATGATAGGTTATGAAATACTTAATAACAAGCGTATATAAATATCCTAAGGTGTAGTGACTTACAAAGAGTCCGTGGGGAAAAACTGCAGTAAAACTGCATTGATAACCATATGCCTGCTGAGAGATTAGAACTCATTTGGTGTTCATAAGTGTGCATTAGGAAGTGCTTATATCAGGTTGCAGCTGAGGGGGCAAAGGCTCACTCATCTGTGGAATGAACAGAAGTTTGCAATATATGGTGGATGTCTGAGTGTAAATCTAATTCATAGACATATTTTCCACAGAAGTTGAAAACAAATAAAGTTTTTTTAAAAGAACCTAAATCGTGTTGTCTGTTTCCTTCTTGCACCCTTCTGCCGTTGGCTTAGCAGCTGCGCTGCCACCACTGCTGAGGAAAGGTGAGCTGCTCCTATACGAAGTTACAGTTCAGCTTCTTTGAGCATCCATGTGGAAGGGAAACTTGAAATGTCATTATTATTAGGATTATGTTTGTTTGTTTTGTTTTGTTTTGTTTTGTTTTGTTTTGTTTTGTTTGTTTCTACCCCACCCATCTGGCTGGGTTTCCCCAGCCACGCTGGGTGGCTCCCAACAGAATATTAACACGATAAAACATCAAACATTAAAAACTTCCCTAAACAGGGCTGCCTTCAGATGTCTTCTAAAAGTCAGATAGTTATCTGATGGGAGGGCGTTCCACAGGCCAGATGCCACTACCAAGAAGGCCCTCTGCTTGGTTCCCTGCAACCGTCGACTCAGCTGCGCAGAATGACTGCAGATGGCCCTCGACTCCAGGTATCTGGTGCTGATGCTATAAAGTTGTAGATCAACACTCCTTCTAAATATACTTACTGAAGCTTTAAGTTCAACGTCGATTCACACACATTGAAAATTTTAAACAATACTCACTAAAAACTAAAAATCAAAGTAGAAAAACGAACCAAACAAATAATCAAAATCAATACAAGAATAAAAGCAAAAATCAAAAAATAAACAAATCACATCAAATGCTTCATGATCCAAAATTGGGCTGAGCTTTAAAGTTCAGCATCAACACTTTGTTGTTGTTTTTAAATAATATTTATTGAAAATTTTAAAATTACAAAAAAACGAGAAAAGTAGATGAAAAGAAAAATTACACAATACAAGTCAATGAAAACAAAAATCAAAGAGAAAAACAAATCACACAAATACATCAAAATCAAAAAGCAAAAATAAACAGAAAATCTAAAAACAAATCCAATATTCCCAAATCTTTATCTTTCATTAACTTGTTTCATGGACCTCCTCACACCTCCCTTTTTTGTATTCTAGTTATTGATTATCACAGCAAATCCTTCCCATTTTTCATAATATTCTGTCATTAAATTACCTTAATCTATTTTAACCTTATCTTACTATAAAAAACCCTAAAACTTAAAGCTTGAGTCTTATCTATACCAATTTCTCATAATCATGACATATTCTTGCATAGTTCTTTTTAACATTTCTGCTAAAGCCAGATAAATTCGTTCCAACATTTTTTTAATACTCATTAATTTTAGAAAACATTCCTAAATAGAATTTTTGAAACTTTCTCCAATCTTCATCCAACGTCTCTTCCTCCTGGTCACGGGTTTTGTCAGTCCTTTCTATCCCATCCATCTAGTTCATTAACCTGGTAACCTTATGTCCGAGGCCCTTAAGTCTCTTCCATGTCCCTTCCGCAGATCTTCATATTTATACCCGTACTTTACTTTGTCTTCTGCACCTTTCACACGTGGAGAATCCAGCTTGACAGTATTTTTATCCCGGACTTCCGGGGTGGCGCCATCTAGGCACCAGCTCCAGCGGGTCTTTGGCACAGGATCCTTTCAAAATCACAGGCAGATGAAGCCTGTGACCATGGGATGGGCACCTATAGCACCCCCAACCAGTAAAGGGGACATGGGCTCCGAGGAGTGAAGAGGGGGAAGTGGCGCGGTGCTGAGAGTCAACTGCTTCTTCCGTGGAGCGAAGCTGCACAGCCGTTGCCGGGCGCTGCCTTTTCCTGGGACAATTTGGCTTTTAAAACCAATTACCCCGTGAGTACTTAAATTTCGGACAATTGGACTTTTAAATAAGCGAGCCAAAAGCCCAGTAGAAAGGAAAATTGGACTAAAATTTATCTCAATTTGGTACTGAAAACGGGAAGGTCTAAACAGGAAGTCAGCCTTCCGTTCTTGTAGATAAATTAAAAACAAAGACATGGCAAACTGAGTTCAGAAAATCGCTTGTAAAGGATTAACTTTCATCATTTAAATTGTTGAACCCCCTTCGGAAGCAGGAGAAGAGGGGGAATTTTTCGGACTGTAAACCTGCAGAAGAAGGTATAAAGCAAAGTAATTTCCACCGTCTTGATCCTGGGAGCGGGGGTGCCAGGACTGGTTCTTCCCAAACTCATTGACAGAGACAAACGTTTTTGACAGATAGTTAAAAGAAGAAACATAGTGATTCCATTGTTCCTGCATTTAAAATTTTCAAATATTGACAAAATATCAGAAAAAGGAAACTTGTTGTTAGATCTGCTTTTAAAAAGAAAGAACAAATAGAAGTTCTTCTGGAGGGCCTGTGAAACTATTTGTTTGAATCGGGGGAGCTTGCAGCTGCAACAGATTAGGATCGTAGAGATAGACTTCTGACCTTGCAGAACAATGTATTCAAGCTCCTGGTGCGTGCTTTCTGTAAAACAAGTGCCCTACTGGAACAGCTATATGAGAAGACGGACGTGATGACTGCTGCGATCAGAAATTTTGGACAGGTAGTGGGAAACTATATAGAGCCCACCCAGGAATTAAATCAGGAGTGTGCTCTGACAGAACAGATGAGGGAAGAGGATGTTGCTGAACCTCGGGCGCCAGAGATGGAGGCAGCTGTGGCCCAGCAGGAACATGAGTTCTTGGATCTGACAAATGAACTTGGAAAAAGCCAGATTTGGAGAGATAGAGTTTTGTTTGGTTTGGAAATGGGGGGTTGGATAGACCCCCCCCTATTCAGGGATGTTTGGACTTTTCAAGTCTGGCAATGGGCCGTGAGATGTTTGGGGTTGTGGGGGCTCTTAATTCTGGAGGGACTTTGAAACATGTTTTTAAATACCAAATGGAGTTCAATGTGGACTATGGAAAAGGGGCTGATTTGTCAAGAAGGGTCAAAAACACTGTTAAGTTGGAGTTCCCACGAGTGAAAGGAGCAGGAGACAAAGTAAAGTACAGGTATAAATATGAAGAAGAGCCGCGGAAGGGACATGGAAGAGACTTAAGGGCCTCGGACATAAGATTACCAGGTTAATGCGCTAGATTGATGTGATAGAAAGGACTGACAAAACCCGGGACCAGGAGGAAGAGACGCTGGATGAAGATTGGAAGGGGAAAAAAATTTTTTTTTATTAGGATTGTTTTATAAAATTGATGAATGCTAGAAAAATGTTGGAACGAAATTATTTGGCTTTAGTAAAAATGTTTAAAGAATTATGTAAGAATATTATGGTTATGAGAAATTGGTATAAATAAGATCTAAGTTTCAAGTTTTAAGGTCTTTTATAGTAAGATAAGATTAAAATAGATTAAGGTAATGTAATGACAGAATATTATGAAAAACGGAAAGGATTTGCTGTGACAATTAACAACTAAGATACAAAAAAAGGGAGGAGTGAGGAGGTCAAAGAAAGAAGGTAATGATAGTTAAGGATTTGAGAATATTGGATTTGTTTTTAAAATGTTTGTGGCTTATTTTTGTCTTTTGATTGTGTTGTGTTATTTTTATTTTTATTTTTTTATCAATTTGTATTGTTGGATTGTGGTTTGTTTTTCTTTTGTTTTTTTCTTTTTCTTTTGCTGTTTTTTCCCCCTGTAATTCTAAAATTCTTAATAAATATCATTTAAAAAAAAAAAAAGACAGTATTTTTATCCCTTCTCGACAGATCAGCCCCTTTTCCATAGTCCACACTGAACTCCATGTGGTATTTAAAAACATTTTTCAAAATCCCTCCAAAATTGAGGACCCCCACAACTCCAAACTCCTCCCGACCCAACGCCAGACTTGAAAAGTCAAAACATCCCTGCATAGGGGGGTCTATCCAGCCCCCCATCTCCAAACCAAACAAGACTCTATCTCTCCAAGTCTGGCTCAGCATCAACACTTTGAATTGTGCTCGGAGCCAATGTAGGTCTTTCAGGAGCGGTGTCATATGGTCTCGGCGACCACTCCCAGTCATCCTCTAGGGATAGGAGGATTGCACTGTGGCATAACAGTTACAGTGTTGGACTAGGACCTGGGAGGGCAGGGTTCGAATCCCCATAGAGCCACGAAGCTCACATGAGTGACTTTGGGCCAATCACCATCTCTGGGCACCTAACTTACCTGACAGGGTTATTGTGAGGATGTGATGATGGGGAGGAGGAGGACAACCCACAGCACCTTGAGATCTTTGGAAGATAAAGGCAGTATCAAAATGAAATGAATATATATATGGCAGGAATGAGGAAGCAGTACTGTAGTAGGGTGAATGGCTGTGGGAGAAATTACTTGGGCAAACAGTTGAAGTGGTGTGGCAATTGTGAGCGAGAGAGCTGGGGCAGGGGAGGCTATATAATAGAGAATCCAGAGGAGAGCTGTTCCGTGTTGCATTTGATGTGAGAGAAAGGGCAAGTGCTGTGAAATGTTTCCACATCCATGTTTTGTCATGATTCCAACATACCTTTCACCTGATTTGTGAAGAGCTCAGGGTATAACAGCATGGCATGTTTCAAACATTCCTAAACTTGCCCTAGTACAAATGTTGAGGCACTTGACATCAGCATGGCTGCTTGTTTGATTGCCTGAAGGGGAAGGGCAAGACTGCTTGATTTAAACACACACACACACACTGAAGATTTTAGCAGATAGCAACTGCCTTGAGGTGCATCAAATTGGCTGGCATCTAGGTGTGGGTTGCTGAGGCTCTCAACTAGCAGAGAAGGTTCAGAAGGTACATGTTGTCTCGCTAAAAGAGGGAATGTTGATAGAGAAATAGCAATACAGTGGTACCTCGGGTTACATACGCTTCAGGTTACAGACTCCGCTAACCCAGAAATATTGCTTCAGGTTAAGAACTTTGCTTCAGGATGAGAACAGAAATTGTGCTCTGGCGGCACGGCAGCAGCGGGAGGCCCCATTAGCTAAAGTGGTGCTTCAGGTTAAGAACAGTTTCAGGTTAAGAACAGACCTCCGAAACAAATTAAGTACGTAACCAGAGGTACCACTGTATATGGTTAATTCTACTGGTAGCAAATAATTGCCACCCCTTGGAAGCAGCATGTAGTCTCTCAGT